GGGTTACAGGAACAACTGGACAGTCAGCTGAAGTGACAGGGACAACTGGACAATCTGTTGGAGTGACAGGGGCAACTAGATCATCAGTTGGAGTGACAGGGACAATTGGATCACCAGCTGGAGTGACAGGGGCAACTATTTCATCTGCAAGATTAGGGACAAGTATACCATTAACTGGAAAAACAGTAACAACTAGAACATCAATTGAAGAATCAACGACAACTGGACCATCAGCTGGAATAACAGGTACAAATGGACTATCAGCTGAAGCGACAGGGACAAATGAAATACCAGCTGGGGTGACAGGAACAACTGGACAGTCAGCTGAAGTGACAGGGACAACTGGACAATCTGTTGGAGTGACAGGGGCAACTAGATTATCAACTGGTGTGACAGGGACAATTGGATCATCAGCTGGAGTGACAGGGACAATTGGATCACCAGCTGGAGTGACAGGGACAACTCGGCTATCAGCTGTGGTGACAGGGATAACTGGACTATCAGCTGAGGTAACAGAGATAACTGGACTATCAACTGGGGTGACAGGGATAACTGGACCATCAGCTGGAGTGACAGGGACAACTACAGTATCAGCCGGAGTAACAGGGACAACTGGACTATCTGCTGGGGTGAGAGAGACAATTGGTCTATCAACTGGGGTGACAGGGACAATTGGATCATCAACTGGAGTGGCAGGGACAACAAGACTATCAGCTGGAGGGACAGGGACAACTGGACTGTCAGCTGAAGTGACAGGGACAACTGGACAATCTGTTGAAGTGACAGGGACAGCTGGATCATCAGCTGGAGTGACAGGGATAACTGGATTATCAGCTGGACTGACAGGGACAAGTGGACTATCAGCTGTGGTGACAGGGATAACTGGACTATCGGCTGGGGTGACAGAGATAACTGGACCATCAGCTGGAGTGACAGGGTCAACTACAGTATCAGCTGGAGTGACAGGGACAACTGGACTATCAGCTGGAGTGACAGGGACAACTGGACCATCAGCTGGAGTGACGGGGACAAGTGGACTATCAGCTGGAGTGATGGGGACCACTGGACTATCAGTTGGAGTGACAGGGAAAACTGGACTATCAGCTGGAGTGACAGGGACAGCTGGACCATCAGTTGGAGTGACAGGAATAACTGCACTATCAGCTGGAGTGACAGGGACAAGTGGACTATCAGCTGGAGTGACAGGGAAAACAGGGCTATCAGCTGGAGTGACAGGGACAACTGGGCCGTCAGCTGAAGCAACAGGGAAAACTGGACTATCGGCTGGAGTGACAGGGATCACTGGACCATTTGCTGAAGTGACAGGGACAACTGGACTATCAGGTGGGGTGACAGGGACAACTGGTTCATCAGCCAGGGTGACAGGGACAACTGGATTATCTGCAAAATCTGGGACAAGTATACCATCAGCTGGAAAAACAGGAACAACCAGAACATCAGTTGAAGAATCAAGGACAACTAGACCATCAGCTAGAATAACAGGTACAAGTGGACTATCATCTGAAGTGACAGGG